ATTTTATCATGGCTTGGCAAAAAACCAGAAAGCACAATGATGACAAGATGAAAGTTTTATTAAGCAAATTAATCGGCCAACGGGCCGAGTAAAATCTAGCAACGATTGTGAGATGCTCATTTCCCGAAAATCGGCGGGATAGGCGATTTTTTATTCGAGTTTCTAGAATCAGGTTTCTATAAAACTTACTCTACCTCATCATATTACCAGAAACAATATTGTTTCACAAGGTAACAGGTACTTGATTTTGGTTCATAAGACTGATTTTTGATTTGTTGCATCATTCATGTCTCTTTCCTACTAAAATTCACTATTTTTATCACGTGTTTTCCCAAAAAAAATTATACAACAATAAGCTATACACCCCACTACGTTATTAAATTTCATACCCCATCTCCCTCTGGCCAAAAGGCCGGGGCCACGCTAATAAAGTATATTATTGAACGAATAAATTTCAAAAGTCAGATACAAATTGACCAAATTAAAACATTTGTGAGGTCTGATAACCGAATTGGCCTCATTGTCTTTGTTTCATTATGTAGTGGCGCCACGAATCGGATCCGCTAGGTATTAGTTTAGAACTCCTTGGAGTTTGGACATCAATTAATCAAATCCCAGATTATTTGTTAAGAACCAGATGCACCCTTTAGCTACACAGAGCCAATAAAGCCGGCCAAGAACCAAAGAGTATTGATTGCCGCTAATTATTGTTAACTAAACTAGCTTTTAGTTTACCCGCCCGTTGGGCGTTACGTTTTGTTTGGTTGTTTTATTTATATTATTTTTTTATTTTTCTAATTGTCTTTTATTTATGGAATAATAAATTTTTGTGTTGTTTGTTCTGTTTGAATCAACGATATAAAGATGTTTACTATTAGCATAGTTTCTAATTTTCTATGGATTATGTGTTATATTTATTATACATTGAATCTTTAATCTGACACGGCTCGTTTCTGCTATAGTTGCACACTTTTGTATTTTAGCTTGTTTATGAGGAAATTAATTTAATTGTATTGGTTCTTTGTCGACATTTTATTTATTTAAAAATTTTCATCGGACCAGACGTTTAAGATGTAAGTTTATAATGTTAAAATTATAATATATGGTTGAAATAACAACACAGGTTAATTTATTTTTAGCACACAATCCTTACGAAGTTGTTAATAGATTCAAAGAATATGCTAAATTCAGGTAAGTTAAATTTCCTGTCAAGTATCAGAATGCAAGTCCAATAGACTCTTGACCCGTTTTGACCCTGAACCGGTGATAAAAACGGGTCACACATACCCCCTGGTCGATCGACCCCCTATAGGATTACTAGGTTGGAGATGACACGATGTTGTTTTTCCTTTGCTTTGTGAAATGCGCCTCTTTCTTGGTTTCCTTTTCGCCTAACCCTATATTTGGAATTAATAGTTGAACATTTGAATAATGATATTATATAAGTCTATGTAATTCTTCCCTATATATTGGGTTGAAGTATAATATGTTATTTTAGTGTAATGTTATATGTTAGATGATACTTGATATAATTTATAAATGTGTGAACAATATAATGACTTTTTTTATATATTTAAGGTAAACCGGGCAAACTATTAACTCTCAACTCACTTGCTCAGCCATACTAAATGGCTAAACCGCGCGACAACCCTGAAGATAATACAATTTGTCGTGTTGTTAAGGGAATTATGGTTTTTTTACCAAAAAATGTTAAGGATTTGATTGGCCTTGATTGTGCTATAAAATAAGCTTTCACTGCATAAAGATATGGAGAAATCAGACTATAGAGAGGGTAAAAAAAAATATTGCGGAAGAAATTAAATAAGAACTACTTGATTTTGGCAACTCACATAACATTGAATTTTTGGAGAAAATAAAGGGGAAAAAAGAGGTTTGATATGCAAAGGATGAAAATGGAATGGGAAGAGTAAAAAATATAGTAAATCCAAGAAGGAAGACAAAGCGAATCAAGCTATTGAATTTGATAATGAAAAAAAAAATCAATTTTTCTTTCGTTGATGGGTGGGAGGCTTAGAGCTAAGCATTAACTGATGTGGCACAATATTAGTTTTGAATATCTATAATATTAAGTAAGGATAAGGATAGAGGAGACACCTTAAGTGGCGACTGTTGGGTGTTGAGTTATTGACCAAAGTAAGATGGTGTCGATCGATAAAACTCGTATTTTTAGAGTATCTTGCGTCATGATCTTTTTTTGGAAAACCACCTAGAAACACACACATTTTAAAGGAAACGTGTTGTTGCCGCAGCCCGCACTACTGTATGTGGGAACTCTATCTCCTATGAATACTTTTCTTTTGAAAGTCAATTGTACGTTGGTTGATCGTATGGTGAAGATCTGGAAGTACTTGGGGGAACATTGAGTGTTTTGCAAACCAATGGGTGATGATAGTTATTTGCGTTTTTTTGTTAAAATCAAATAACTAATTTTTTCATGAAAAACGAGTCATTTAGTACTAAATGGCTCAATTCAATCATTTGATACTAAATGGCTCAGGATTTCAAACAAATAACTCCTACACATCTCGATGCTCATTGTAGACTATGGTGCTTGCCCTCTGACCCTAAATTAAGAAATGTAAATAAAAGTTTAAACTCTGTAAAAAATTTGTTGAGTATCAAGTCAAGTATTTGTTTCTCGGTGAACAAACTTAGTTGGTTGTATCACTATCAGCAACACTCGCATGCTGATGGTAAAACAAAAATGCATGTAATGGGCATGCATGAAAATTGAAAAAGGGGTGATGAGATCCTTATTTATTTGGGCTAAGAAAAACATGTTTTAAGATTAAACAGTGGGCTCAACTCAAGGCCGAGAACCCATCATTTCTACAATAGGCCCATACACCAAGCTTAGCTGCTTACTGGCTTCTGCCTAAGCAAAGCTCACGGTTCTTCCGCCACGCGTCTACCGAATTTCGCTCATCCGCTCCATGCAAACGGCGCCGTCTGAAGGGCGGGGTTTCCGCGTCCCATCTTGGCTGCTTCGCTTCTGCCGATCATTTCTTCCTCTCCCCCGTTCCTCCGCCGCCAGAAATTCCAGAATGGATCTCCGCGAGTTGATCGCCAGCCAAACCGACGTCGCTTTGTCGCTCTCCAAGCAAGTACTGCTGTCGACCGAAGCCAAGAACTCCAACGCCGTGCTTTCCCCGGTGTCGATCGACGTCGTGCTGAGCCTTATCGCTGCCGGCTCCAAGGGGCCCACTCAGGATCAGTTGCTCTCTTACCTAAAGACCAAGTCCGTCGAGCACCTCAACGCATTCTCTTCCGAGCTCGTCTCCGTGGTTTTCTCCGACGGAAGCGGTGCTGGAGGTCCGAACTTGGCTTTCGCTAATGGGGTTTGGGTGGACAAATCGATCTCTCTTAGGCCTTTTTTCGAACATGTTGTGGACAATGTCTACAAGGCTGCTTCCGATCAAGTTGATTTTCAAACCAAGGTACTCACTTGATTTCGAAGTCGAGAGTAATTGATAGATCGTTTGATTTTTGTCACTTGGGAATCGATTTTTGTTAATTGCTTGAACTTGCGTTTTCCTAGATTCGGTAACTTTATTAAGCTGTTAGCTTTCTTTTGTATTACCTTGTTTATGATTCTTCAAGTGAGAAAATGGGTTGTGCTGATTTTGCTTTGTTGATGATTAAGAAGCTTAACTCAAATGAGCTGAGTGAAAGGAAAGGTGAAGTTTTTAGGTTATGTAGGTTTTTTGTTTTGCTTTCCTTGTATATATGGTTTCGTTGCAGTGATTTTCCTGAATTTGATTTATATGTTCCTACTGCTAATGTTGATGCTTAAAATATGGCTATGAAGGCAGCTGAAGTTGCTAAAGGAGTAAATGCATGGGCTGAGAAACAGACCAAGGGAGTTATCAAGGAAGTTCTTCCTTCCGGTGCAGTTGACAACACCACTAGGCTCGTTTTTGCCAACGCCCTCTACTTCAAAGGTGCTTGGAATGACAAGTTTGATGCATCAGCTACTAAGGACCATGACTTCCACCTCTTGAGTGGGAGCTCAATTAAAGTCCCGTTCATGACCAGCAAGAAGAAGCAATTTGTTTCCCAGTTTGATGGTTTCAAGGTCTTGTCCCTTCCTTACAAGCAAGGTGAAGACAAACGAAGGTTCTCAATGTACTTCTTCCTTCCCGGCTCAAAAGACGGTTTGCCAGCATTGGTCGAGAAAGCAGGCTCAGAGACTGGTTTCTTGAACCGCCACCTCCCGCTGCAAAAGGTAGAAGTCGGCGAGTTCAGGATTCCAAGGTTCAAAATTTCCTTTGGATTCGAAGCTTCCAACACCCTGAAGGGATTAGGGTTAGTTTTACCCTTCTCTAACGAAGCAGACTTGACTGAGATGGTGGAATCCTCTGCTGCTGGAAGTAACCTAAGCGTGTCGAGCATATTTCACAAATCTTTCATTGAAGTGAACGAAGAAGGAACCGAAGCCGGAGCTGCTTCTGTTGGTGTCATAGCTCTGAGAAGCCTGCTTGTAGCCGAGAAGATCGACTTCGTAGCTGATCACCCGTTCATGTTCCTCATCAAAGAAGACCTGACCGGAATGGTGCTGTTCAGCGGCCACATCCTTGATCCATCACAAGCTTCTTAAAATCCTTCCAGTACAAGTGATGGGCATGTTTTGTATGTATATCCACACTAACTAGTGATGCTTCCAAATAAATAATGTTCATTTCATAGCAGGATTGCTCTCTTATGTTTGGTGTTGTAAGAACCACTATTGAGCGTAAATTTGGGCTCTCTGTATTAGCCCTGTTCCTATAGTTGTTTGAGTGGAAGTTCATGCTGCTGTTGCCTTTGTTTTGGGTAGGAAATAGTTGAACTATGATTTGGACGTTTACACGTAAGAATGTTGATTATTGAGATGACTATCTATGGCAGATAATATTAACAAAGACTACGGGTCAAACAGAGACAGAGGGAGCTCCCTATGACTGCCACATTCGAAATTTTTATCTACTTATAAGAGCAGCAGACTACTGAGAAACTTACGAGGCAGAAAAAAGTTCACCTCCAGAATCCCCGTTTTGTTTCACTGAGGAATTCCGAGGATGGAGCTCCAGCCAGACGTAGCTTTGGCCATCTCCAAGCACGTTCTACTGACGGAAGCTAAGAACTCAAACGCAGTGATTTCTCCGCTGTCGATCCACGTCGTGCTGAGTCTCATTGCTGCCGGATCAAGGGGTGCCACTGAGGACCAGTTGTTGTCTTTCCTGAAGGCCAAGTCGATCAACGATCTCAATTCCATCTCCACCAAGCTCGTCTCCATTTTGGCTGAGGGAAGCGCCAGTCAAGAAGGTCGAAAACCGTTGCTGCCTTTCCTCAAGGCCAAGTTGATTGACCATCTCAACTCCATCTCCATCAAGCTCGTCTCCGTTTCTGCTGAGGGAAGCAGCGCCAGCTGCCGAGATCGAGAAGGTCCAAAACTGTTGCTTGCTAATGGGGTTTGGGTGGACAAGTCACTTCCTTTGAATCGATCTTTTAAGTTTTAAGCACGTTGTGTGCGATGTGTACAAGGCTACTTGTCATGAAGTCGACTTCCAAGCTAAGGTAATTGAGCCTTGGAAATTGCTTCTTTAATTATTTTGCAAGGATTGTGTGTATTAAACATTTTTGGAGATGATGCAGGCAGTTGAAGCGACTGCTGAAGTGAATAAATGGGCGGAGAAGCACACAAATGGTCTCATCAAAGAAGTTCTTCCTCCTGGCGCTATTGAGTGCACGGCGAGACTCGTGTTGAGCAGTGCCCTTTACTTCAAAGGAGGCTGGAAGCAGAAGTTTGATGCATCAGCTACTAGAGACCATGATTTCCACCTCTTGAATGGTAGCTCAGTGAGAGTACCATTTATGACTAGCAAGATGAACCAATTTGTTGCTGAATACAATGGTTTCAAGGTCCTTTCCCTTTCTTATAAGCAAGGTGAAGAAGACAAACCAGTGTTCTCAATGCACATCTTCCTTCCTGATTCCCAACATGGATTGCCTGCACTGGTCGAGAGAGCGGGTTCTGAACCTGGCTTCTCGAGTCGTCACATTCCACGACGTCGAGAACTAGTGGGTGAGTTCAGGATTCCAAGGTTCAAACTGTCATTCGGGTTTGACGCTTCGAATACCTTGAAGGGATTAGGGTTGGTTCTGCCTTTCTCTAATGAAGCAGAGTTGAATGAGATGGTGGATTCCTCTGTGGTGGGCAGTAGTACCCTAACTTTGTCGAGCATCTTTCACAAATCTGTCATCGAAGTAAATGAAGAAGGCACAGAAGCTGCAGCTACTTCTGTTGGTGTCATATGTAGCAGAAGTTTACCTGAGAGGATAGACTTTGTAGCCGATCACCCGTTCATGTTCCTCATTACAGAAGACCTTACCGGGTTGGTGCTGTTCAGTGGCCATGTCCTTGAACCCTCGCAGCAGGCTTCTTAGAACTTCTCTAATTATAATAATCTGCAGGCTTCGTCTTGGTGTTATATGGTTGGTGTGTAATCACTGTTGAGCATGAATTTGTGATTTGTTTGTGGTAATTAGCCTTGTTGGCTAACTTGTTTGAGTGCATTGCTGATTTCAGTATTTACTATCAGTGGCCTTTTTAGCTTGGTGTGATGGTCACAGAGTCACAGTTTCCATCTAGGCCAAAGCAATGATGCTTCCAAGTTCCACTTTTGCTTGGGGATTTTTCCAATAATAGCACCTTTAAAAAAAAAATTACAAAAATAGCACCCATGTAAAAAAAATTACAAAACTAGCACCTTAATTTTTGGAATGCACCCCTAAGATGCGTTTTAAATGTAAAACGCACCAAACAGATGCGATCTACATGTAAAACGCATCAGAGGGGTGCAATCCATAACATGAAACGCACCAGACTGATGCGATTTGGGGAGGACGCGTTGCGATCCACAGGATCGTCGGATAGATAGCCGATCCAACGGCTCAGCGCACGCCAGCGGAGCGATCCGCGCCTTGGATCCCAGATCGCACGCCAGCAATGCAATCCGCGCCGGTGTCAGTCAAACCGCATTGGGAGGGTGCAATCTGCGCCTGGGGAAGCGGAAAACGCATTGGGAGAATGCGATCCGCGCGGGGCAAAATTACCGCCTCGTCCCCGGAGCCTGCGATCTGAAAAACTATAAATAGCCCCCCTCCCCCTCTCATTTCTTCACACCTTCAACCCATTCTTCCTTCTCTCTCTAAGTTTTATCTCTCTAAACCCTCCCCCTCCCAAAAGCCTAGGAAATAGTGGTCTATTGGTTGCGGCAAAGTCCGATCTGCCATTAGAAAACATTTCTTAGGTTTTTTCCTCAAACCCCGCCGAGCCGAGCCGAAGCTCTGTCCGAATTGCGCCGAAAAAATGGCCGATTGGTGGCAAGGAGAAGGAGTTTTTGTTGATGAATTTCAAGCGGTACGTACTCATTATTCGGGTTTAATTTTTGTTGTTGTTATCTTGCTTTTTAATTAATCTATTTACTAACCTCGTTGTTATTTTCTCGTAGGCTGCGGAGGACGTCGATATTTACAACCAACGGTATTATCTCGAGCAAGGACCGTTGGATCCAACCGACTTGTACGACCAACCCAACCATCGGTCAAGGGATGTTTGGAACGCTCACCCGGTACATACAATTCTTTACCATTTGTCCTTCTTTTATTTTGTTAATGTATTTAGTGAAATATAAAATAAATTTATGTTGAATTTTTAATCGTGTTGGTTGTTTTCAATAATTTAATCGAATACATTGCGCCACTTACTTCGACTCTTTATAAAGAGATGCACGTCTAAGGAAATGGGGTTTTAAGCGATTATCATATCCTCCCATTCCCTGGGAAAATCGGGTATTAAGAGATCCTCGGATCCCCCCTTTTTCTGTCAACAAGACTGCGTTTCTAAGAAGATGTATACCTCTTCTAAGAGTCTAACGAGTGTTGCTTTGTATTCGATTAAATTATTTAAAACAACCAAAAAGATTAAATAATTTACCAAACAGTCCTTACGATTTATTTTTATGTGTACAAATGGAATTTTATTAATTTCAAACAATTGAATATGTATGTTTCTCTTTAAAATATTGATTCATTAACAATGTCATTTAATTTAGTTAATTTAATATGTTTATTTTACGATAATTAGTATGTATCTCTTTATGAAATTATTCATTTAGAATGTTATTATGTTAATTAATTTAGGATGTTCGTTTTATGATAATATGTATGTATCTCTTTAAATTATTATTAATTTATAATGCTATTATGTTAATTATATGAAATGTCTAAAGTATGATAATAAAATTCTGCTTGAAGTTAAATAATTTAATTTAAGTAATTTAGTTATAAGGATTAAACCCTTACTAATATATAAGTAATTTAGTTATAGTATTCACCTCCACCATGGATACCAGATGTTTGACCGTGTCCAGAATGACCTCCAACGCCTACGACCGGCTCGGTGTAAACGAACATCTCGGCTTTGGAAAGATTGTTGGACCTCATGAATTCGAGCATGGCGTCTACCTCATCCTGAGTGGTTATGAGATATTCCTCATGCCACAATGACCCACTTTCTCTGTTTGGATATCGGTACACCATACGATCAACTTTTCTCGTGCCATCCATGCAAGTAACGTTAGTGCACATTTGATGGAGGTCTTCAAGCAGCGGTCTGGTAGCGACCTTTATCTTCTGAAAATTGCCACCTACGTAGGTGGCACCCTTTCCGGTCTCTTCCGTGTAACCATTCCACCGTAAGCCAAGCGTGAACTTTTGGAATGCCATCTGCGATAAAACCGTAGTTAAGTTAATATCATAAAAATCAAAAATAAAAATTAACAATAAAAAGTAATACTAAATCAACTTACGAGTTAACGTTAATCGCAAAACTACTAAAGAAATATGTAATACTAAATCAACTTACGAGTTAACGTTAATCGCAAAACTACTTGAAATATAGAGCTACAACAGAAAATTGAAAAGGGAAGGGAGAAGGAGAGGTGTGAAGAGAAATGGTTGTCCGGGAGGCCTTTTATAGGCAAAATCTTGATGAAAACCGCACCTTAGAGATGCGATTTTTGTCTTCCATGCAGGCCCACGTCTGTAACGTCTGTATGGATGTCGGATATTGATTGACCAAAACCGCACCTTTAAGGTGCGGTTTGCATGTTAAAATCGCATCCTCATGGTGCGATTTTGTCTGGCAGAACCAAATCGCATCTCGGCCATGCGATTTTACTAGGTCAGACATAAAATCGCACTTTGGCAATGCGATTTCAGTAGGTCACACCTAAAATCGCACCTCGGCCATGCGATTTTATTAGGTCAGACCTAAAATCGCTTGGCTAAAGTGCGATTTGATTCCAGATTTTTGGAACGCACTTGTAGGGTGCGATCTATATTTAAAACGCATTTATAGGGTGCGATTTATATGTAAAACGCATCTACAAGGGGCGTTCTATTAAAAAGGGTGCTATTAGTGGAAATTTTTACGAATGGGTGCTATTTTTGTAATTTTTTTTAAAGGTGCTATTTCTGGAAAAATCCCTTTTGCTTGCTCTGCAGAAAGTTATGTTGCCATGCGAAAATATAGTTTAGCTTATTTGTTAGTGTTTCTCTAAGAATCATATTAGTTTAATTGAATCGTGAAAGGGACCTTCACACCTTACCTGTTTGATTATTGACTCGTACCCGTAGCAGATAATATAAAGGGTTAATAGCATTTTCTATCCTTCTATTATGGTAAATTAACAAACGTATCCTTTTACTAAATTTTTGCACAAACATACCCTTCTAATATGAAAAACATAGCGTGTTTACCCTTCCATTCAATTATCCGTTAAGTGGCCGTTAAACAAGCTGTGAAATTACTCAATTACCTCTCCTTTACTCCTAACTCCTCCTAATTTTGATTTTAATTATTTTATGCCACAAATTAATTAATTGAAAAATCAAACCCTTATGGAGTCTTTGAAATTTCCCCGCACCCTCACTGAAGCATCTTTGCGGCAGCAAATAGATCCACCGCCACCAGCAAATCATCCATTCTCGTGAACCTCCCTATAGGGCCGGCAGCTCTGCCCCTTTTTGGAAACCTCCACAACCTCATCAACTTCTCCTCCTCCAAACTCCACCATGCCCTCCATCGATTAGCACGGAAGCACGACCCACTCTTCCCGCTCAAGCTCGGCCAAATCTTCATCGTCGTTGTCTTCTCTCCCAAAATCACTAAGGAAATACTCAAGGACCACAACATCACCTTGGCGGAGAGAGCCCGAGCCAGGTCAAGTCGTTCGCCTCCATCCGGAGCCAGGCGGTCGCGAATCTGATCCATTCGATTTGCTTAAGTTCCATGGTGCAGGGGCAGGGGTCATCGTTCGCACCACTCCAGGTTGATCTTCCAGATGAGTTGCGGCGTGACGTCGAGGGCGGCGTTTGGAATTTGGCAGGAAGGACTAGGAGGATTTGATGTCGTTGGCGACGGACATCGTGAAGCTGCCGGGAGCAGGCGGCGCCAGGGACTAATTGCCAGGGGAGGGAGACGGATGGTTTTTGTCGACTGGGTGTGAATTAGTTTAGGGGTTTTGTTAATTTAATTAATTGATTTAAAATATAATAATACAATTAAAACCGAAATTAGGAGTGCTTAGAAGTAAATGAGGGGCAATTGAGTCATTTCACAACTCTTTTAACGGCTACTTAATGGATAATTGGATGGAATGGTAAATTCGTTACGTTTTAATATTAGAAGGATATGTTTGTACAAAAATTTAGTAAAAGGGTATGTTTGTTAATTTACTGTAATAGAGGGGCACATAATGCTATTAACCCTAATATAAACTAAGACTCACCATCAACATTGTACACGACACCCTCTATATGTCTGCCAGTGCCACATCTTCATTCTTACAGTATAGGTCAAGCGCCTATAAATTGGAGCATAATTAAATATATAAATTAGATTTTGTTGACTAATTTAGGGGAACGACACTAGGGAAAAGGTCTTGAGTTTGATTAGAGTTAGAGCATGGATAAGAAGAAGCGAGGAGAGGTGACATCTCAAGTTATCTTTAATTCGAAAGATTGGAGATTGAGAGACGGCTAATACTAGTGTTTGCTTTTTGGTGTTATGAAAATAACAAGAAATTAGGTTAGATACGAGAGTGGCTAAACTAGAAAGTCAAAATGGGGTTGAATGGGGGCTTGTGAATTGTGAAAGAGCGAGGAATGAGAATGACCAAAGGTTGTGTGCTATATTTCATTAATTTTCGATTTTTTTGTCGCTTATCGGTATTTCAGTATATGTCGATCCCAATCCAATAATCTCGAATATCGGAAAGCACTCTACAATGAATCTCAATCCAAATCCCTAAAAATAAACCGGTATTCGATAATATCATATAGTTATAAATTCGGTTCGATATATCCAAATACCGGTACCAAACTTCCATTTCTAATTCAATCTATTTTCAATTGCATATGTAATTTAATATTATGTATAAATTGTGATAAAACAAAGAAAATAAAAAATAATATTTGTAGGTGATTTTAACTTACATATAAGAAATGGCAAATTTACAAATATGCAATGGGTGCCATATTAATGCAATTGGTTATTCAATTGCAAAAACCATGTCATTTCATCTTACAATTTGAAATGCAAGATCAATGTCACTGCTCTTGCAATTGAGTAGTGGACCAGTTGATTGTTCTTTTTCATGTCTTATATGAATATGAGTGATACTTACAACAATCAGCATTGCTACGGAGCTCATTTTACAAGTAGTGCAAAAATTTGATTCATTGATGATAGATTGATAGTGGGACTCTGGTGAACCTTTGATCCTTCAAGTGCAAGTTCTGCTGCTTTGTGGGCTGGGCTACGGTCTTTTCTATCCAAGTTAGGCCTTTTCTCAAACATGATCCCAAAGCCCATAAAACTCGGCGATTATTTTTGCGCAGAAAAAGTACTACGTACCTGTGCCAGAAAATTCACGTGGCATTTTAGCAAAGCAGTATTTTATTATTAATTAATTATAGCCCGAGTCGGTGGCATAACCAGAATTTCTTTTAAGGTGGGTCCACCTAGAAAAAAAATACACATGATAAAATAGCTTTTGTTAATTAAATTGAAAATTTGTTGTCAACTAAAATGCAAGTAAAAAATATCAAGAATATCATTCTGCGTACCAAAGAATTATTGATTTAGTTAGTCGTACACTCGTACTGTTTCAAATGGTGTTCTTTGTCAAGAACTGTTTGTATTAGTAAATCGAGTTGTTGATAGAGGTTTAATAATAAATCCTACACCAATCAATAATTCATGATTTAGCTTTCTAATAATGTTCTTTGTAAAAAAACATTTAGTATCAAACAAATCGAGTTGTTGAAAGATATTCAATAATATATATGATACCATTTACTAGCATGCTCCCTCATAAGAAAATCAACTTATATGAAATTGAAATTTGCACAAATATGTATACCGTATTAGATTCAAACACAAAACTACTATTATCAATTAAATGTGACCTAATTTTCGATATCAATTAATTACCGTACCTAATTTAATCGTTTTCCTCCCAAACCATGTGGGTCCCGTTACCCTCTCCCTCCGTCACCGGAGCGGTGAAAAATCTTGGAGCGGCAAATTAACTTTGTGCAGTGGCGCCGAGAGAGAGGGAGGGAGAAGGCCAGAAGGGCATCTTATTTTTGTCCGTACCACCGCCACCGCTCCGGCGACTCCGTCTGTCCTTTCTGTGGACTTCACATGGGCTACGGGCGCGCAATTTCAAACACACTCCTCGCCTCATCTAATCTGCCGTCAGATCTGATCTTATTATCAGAAGCTTTGCTGGTTCCCTTTACTGCCACCATTCTCCTCCCATGTTTACGTTGTCGCCCACAGCACAAGAGATTTTGCAGTGATCCAATTTGGGGAATGAGTTTGCCAAAAGAAGGAACAACTCAATAAGCTCTTCCATATTTTGTGGTAGAAATAAAAAATAGTCAATTCTATTTGTAACCCAAAAAAATCAAAAGATTGTAAAACGGTACCGGATGTTGTACCCGAAAAATTAGTAGTATGATATTCTATGTTGGAACTATAATTTAACCGTGATTCACCATTTCATACCACCAAAACCCGCATACCAATTTAACCCCGGTAAGATACTTTTTCAATGTAAACATCGGCACGACACGGTTTCAAAGTTACTAAATAGCAAAACATTTTAGGACATTAGAAAATTATAGTCGATTTTTAACTCTGTTAAGGTGGTTGATCGACCGGTATATCTAGAATGAATGTATCTAGCACGGTAACATATCAATCAAAACAGTTAATTTTTACCACACGAGAATCATAGCAACATTATTATAAACATTAAGTCTTTTTTAAGTGTTATTAAAGCCGAGCCGCTTGGCCCGATCGCTAAAACCGCCACCCGGTCAAAAATCGTTTAGGAACAGTTTAAAAGCCGCTCCGGTTTTATGCAGCGGTTGACGAGCGACCGAGACGGTTAATCGCTGGAGCCGATCGAGCCGCTCGTCCGGTTTTGTCATCCAGCCGTTAAATTTAATTAAAAATTTGCAGAAAATTAAAAATTGAAATAAACAAAAAATGTAGGGCTCTCAAACTAAATCATTATTTCAATTTCACAATTTCGAAGGAAAGCGATGAGCTCTGATTAAGAAATGTCCACTATTTGTACTGATAACGTTTATTAGGTATCGGTTTTCTAACGGTTTTTAAACGATCTAATGCCGGATGGGCCACTAAAGTGCGAGCCGTTCGCATTACAGGGTCATGCTCCGGTTCGGTTCTGACAACATTGTTTTTTTTTTTTTTAAAACGGGTGCAACTGTGCATATATCACTACCTCATATATTATTATTTTTTTCCGGTAATTATCACTACCTCATATTAATAAATCGAATGGATAACAAATCTGCCAACCAAGTGATATAGTAGCCAATGATTATAAAAATTAAGTCATGCTTATGATAACAAGTATATATTAAACAACTAATAACGTAAGTGAGAGGTGCATCAGTGATAATCCAATGCAGTTTAGGCTAAGATATCATAATTGCTTCTCATTTTGAAGGCTGAAGCAAAGATGGAGCAGCTAGTGGGGCGGGATGAGACGTAATTGTCATAAGCACGATAATGGGACGGCAATGGAGAGATAAGGTGGGGGATTTGACGTTATTGCTGCCTAATGCATTCTTTGCCTTTTTCTCTACCTTTCCAGCCAGCATCCTTTCCTTGTGCAGATTTTATAATTTGGGCTTTACAGTGTTGTATAGCTAACTGTTTCATAATTAGCGTTCAATAAGTGGGTTTCATCAATAGCAAGCAAACAAACAAACAAAGAGACTAAAACATGACTTGGCATTAACATTGAACATATCGAGGATTAGGTTTTTTGGGCTCTGTAATATAAATGGATGTGTGCATGGGGATTTATTAACTACTGTACTTTTTGGGTCAAGATGGGAAGTTAAATTAATTCTTCATTCTGAGTCAGACTGGCAGTTTGGGACCATAGAAAAAAGTTTTGAATCTCCATAGTTGTCAGTAGGGGAATCTGATGTAGGGACATACAGTACATTGAAATGCTGTGACTTGTGGTCACCTGCATTTTTATGTTAGATTTGTGTTCACTGATCACAATTGGATGGTCGGATTCGTTTATAATGGAATCGAGGAATGAAATTAAAGAATAGTTATGTTGAACTTTCAGAAGAAAATTGTGATTCAAATTGAAATTAAATTCATCTAGAATAGAATGTGGTTGGTGGTGGAGCAAAGCAAAATAGTAAAGAGTTTGTGAGAGCGAGGTAAAGTAATGGGTCCAAGAGGAAGGACGAATATTGTAATGTAAACAACCGTATCTCTCATACAACCCAAACCTCTATAATATCTTTCACTTTGTATTGTACGTACATGTCGCTTATAATTGGGACTTAGGATCGGGTTTCAAACTCTTATTAAATATTTGAGGATTTTATCTCATCTCATTTGTTCGTTACTAAATATGCAATTACAAAGCATACAAAATCTTTTAAGTGACAGCCATACAATCCCTTCTAAGAATTTCCTAAATTTGTATTCGTGACTCAGTTGTATTCCATGAGCTTGCTCTTTTCTTCTACCATTTTATCTCACATGCTTAGTGATGGCAATGGGCGGGGCGGCTAACTCAGTAGCTATGTCCCGTCCCACGCTACTGTCGGTCAAGGTGGGTAAAACTCACACGGGTTCGAGGCGGGAAGACCTACTCTTACATGTTAATTGAAAAAAATACACGCAAATTTTACTTTTTACGATAAAATAAATGGAAAAACACTTTTTCAATGAAAAATAGTAATAATAGAATAGGTAATTGAGTCTAACAAGTTGAAAGATCGTTGAAGAAAAGTCAAAATCTGAAAAATATGTATAGATATTGTAAGAAATTGAGATAGAATGCGCTAAGAACAGGACGGGGCTGGTCGGATGTTGATGTGAGGACTTGGAATTGCATCTTTCATTAGTTGGATTAGTGGGATTTAATACCCACTCTTAAACAGAAAAGTTACCCACGTAGCCTACAAAGGATGAACGGCTTAGTGGGCTTAACCACTTACAATAGTGAATTAAATACATAATTAATTAAACTAAATAGTATCCTTATCACGCCCCCGCAAGACGGTGGTGGGAACAACGCCGATCTTGGAACGAAGAAGCTGAAAACGAGTAACAGGGAGTGGTTTGGTGAGGAAGTCCGCCAATTGATGAGCGGTAGGAATATGTCGAACATGAAGGACACCATCTTGGACGAGATCACGGACAAAGAGATAGTCAAGTTTCAAATGCTTCATGCGGGAATGGTGGCCTATCTTTCAATTTGATGTTAACAATGCTTTCCTACAGGGCTCTCTCCAGGAGACGGTATATATGACTCAACCTCTCGGTTTTCGTTATAGTGCTCATCCCGATCATGTCTGTTGGCTTAATCGGGCCATTTATGGCCTCCGTAAAGCTCCACGGTCATGGAACATGGCATTGTCGAGTTTTCTGGCACAAGAAGGATTCGTCAAATCGAGTATGATGCGTCCTTATTCGTTTATCATCATCAGGGTGTCATGCTCTATTTCCTTGTCTACGTTGTTGATTTTCTCTTAACGGGGAATGATTGCCCCTCTCTCGCCCGATTTAAGGATCACCTAGCCTCTTAGTTCTCTCTCAAGAGTCTCGGCCGTGTCAACTACTTCTTGGGAATAGAAGTTCTTTCTACTACTACAGGTTACTTGTTATCTCAACACAAATATGTCAATGATATGTTGCATCGTTTTGATATGCATGATTCTCAACCGGTGCCCACTCCCCTTGCTTCGATGGCTACACTTCGTCTCGTCGAAGGCTCTCCACCAGCAGATGCTACTTTGTATAAACAGGCCCTTGGTTCGCTGCAATACCTCCTCTACACTCGTCCTGACATCGCCTTCGCGGTGAACAAATTGTCACAATTCATGCATGCTCCTACTACTCTTCATTAACAGCATGTCAAGCGCCTCTTCCGATATCTCAAAGGCACTTCCACCCTTGGCCTTTGCCTAACACCCGCAGCCTCAACTGATTTTGTTGCCTTTGTTGATTCTGACTGGGCCGGAGATCCCAATGATCATACCTCTACCATGGCATTTCTTGTGTACTATGGCGGCAACCTTATTTCATGGAACTCAAAGAAGCAGCGATCGGTGGCCCGCTCTAGTACTGAGGGCGAGTATCGCGCCTTGACTCATGCTACTTCTGAACTCCTTTGGGTTCAAAATCTGCTTCGTGAGCTTCATCAACCTCACTCCTCCCCACCCGGTCCTCTACTGCGACAACCTTGGCGTTGTCAACTTCGCGGGTAATCCTATCCACCATTCTCGCATGAAGCATTTGGCACTTGAATATCTTTTTGTCCGTAATCTTGTCCAAGATGGTGTCCTTCGTGTCCGACATATTCCTACCGCTCATCAATTGGCGGGCTCCCTCACCAAACCACTCCATGTTACTCGTAGGGGTGGCTATACGGTCCGGTCCAGTTAAATTGGCCTGAATTGATCCGGTCCCGGTCTGGTTTTTTCGAGAATATAAGGACCAAAGATTGGATTGGATACAGTCTGGTCTTGATCCAGTCCGGTTTTGAACCGATCCGGTCCCAATTTGGTTTTGATTTTAGATTGAGCTTGTGGAAATTTTGAGTGGCCTGAGGGGGGATTGAATCGAATTGTTTGCTATCCGGTCCCGATCCGGTCTCGGTCTGGGTTATACGGTCCGGTTTCAGGTAAAACCAAAAAGCCCGAACCAAATAGCCAGCCCTAGTTACTCGTTTTTAGATTCTTCGTTACAAGAACGGCGTTGTTCCCAAAACCGTCTTGCGGAGGGCTACTAAGTCGTTCCTCCTTTGTAAGCTACGTGGGTCACTTTTCTGTTAAGAGTGGGTATTAAATCCCACTAATCCAACTAATGAAGCAATGAAGATGGTAAGCGATTTATAAGATAAGTGGCGACTTGAAAAGCATGAGACCAAAAAGAAAGAGGGAGTTTGGCAGTGTGAAGAAGGGTAAGACCTGTTTCAACGACGTGTCGGTGTTTGCGTTCGGCTAGGCCATTGTGCTGAGGAGTATGTGTTGGTGTGAAGAGATGAGTGATGCCATGAGTTTGAAAGAAGAGCTCAACTTTTGAAATTCACCACCACCATCGCTATATAAACACATCGAATAGTAGTGTGGAAATAATTTTCAATCATGGCTTTGTACGTGGTAAAAACATGATGAACAATAACTAAATAGCGAGTGATGATCCAAAATAACTAAATAGTATGAAAAAATTTCATGTGAAAAAAGGAGAAGACCCCATACATCCATGTATAATAAATCAAAAGGTCGAGAACTAGACAAATTGGTCACAGAGAGATTATCATGTGAAATAATAGGAGAAGGCCCCCATACAATCACATATAGCGAGTGATGATCCACAATAACTAAATAGTATGAAAAATTATCATGTGAAATAATAGGAGAACGCCCCCATACATCCATGTATAATAAATCAAAAGGTCGAGAACTAGACAGACTGGTCACAGAGAAGGGCAGTTTATGGCTCTTATGCAAAGATCATGAATCACAAGAAGAGTTGAAGGGCAAAGTAGTCAAAATCGGGATTTTACCTAAAATTGAAAATTGGGGTAAAATCGGAATCGTAAAATCGAATCGTAAAATCGTAGCATTTTAAGTTCCATATAGAAACTAACATATAATCATATTAATAAGGTGAACCATTACCAACACAAAGGCACATAACATTGAAAATGATAATTCTCAAGATTAATATTCCAAGATCATCATTTTAATTGTTATTTAATGCGTAACTAAAATAATTCATGAGGAAATGATAGAGCTCATGGAGCTTGACTCTTGTTTTTCAAGTTGTTTTTAGGTAGTTTAACTCAAAGTAGTACTCCAGTCAGGTTAATTTCAACAGTGTCTGTTAATCATGATTTAAAACTAATAATACATGAACTCCAATTGAATAATTAATGCTAGTAGCTTGGCAGAAATGTATTCATTAATCAATTAATGAGTTAACAATGATATTAATTCTTCCGCACGTACAATATTAGGAAAGTTATTTTGCCGATGAGTTCAACGGGATGAAGGGAAAGAGAATGACCGAGCCATAATTTGGTTTTTTTTTATTTTCAAATGTTTTTTAATAGAAAAAATATTTGAGAAGATCCTCATCATTGCTCTTTCTGCCAAATCAGTTCCGCTTTTTTAAAATTTGCTCAAACAACCTATTTTGTTCTCGTACGATTTTAATCCCGATTTTGGTAGGATTTTATGATTTTGACGATTTTAATCCCGATCTTAAACGATTTTAAGGTCCACCGATTATATAGTAAAATCAAGATCAGAATCCCTAAGTAAAATCCTAAAATCCTATGATTTTATGATCAAAATCCCGATTTTGACTGCTTTGTTGAAGGGTAATGAAGTAACCGACAAAGATTGTTTTCGAATAACATGAGATAAAAGTTTGAAATGAGGATGACCAAGCATTGACGCCACACAACAGAGGATGTTCGCGAAGCGGATAAAGCAAGGTGAACAGGTGAAGTCGCCGCTGGTAGCTCATAGACGCCCCCCTTATTCTGGCCTCGCAGCAGGTGCGCCCCCGTTGCTAGATCCTTCACAACAAAAACAATAAAAAAATTCCACCGGCACAGGATTAGTCTTGCACAATTGAGAAACAGAGAGCAATTGTCGTTTAATGGCCGGTAAACAGAGCACATTGTGAAGAGCCAAGCGAGACATGCTAGATGATAAAGAAGAACTGCCAATATGTGTAATTTGCAGACCTGACCCATCCCCGATGATAACTTCATCCGGTCCATTGTAATCAGTGTAGAGAGAGCTGACCGAGATCCGGAGTCATATGGTTGGTTGTTGTCGAGTCTACGAGCCAACCAGATGGTGACGAGCCAGCACTGGTATGATGAGCATGGGGAGGACCACGAATATGGTAGCAATCCTTGGCAGAGTGGCCAGTGGCGTCGCAGAACTGACAAACAAGTCGAGGACGATCGAGAAGTGACGGAGCAGGAGTAACATACCCGGCAGGAGACCGAGATGGGGAATATGCATCGGAGGAACGTGGACTAGAACTACGTCGGGCAGGAGAAATCCCGTGAGAGCCACCAGCAGGGTGGATGTACCGGCCAGGAGAACATGGGCGACTATGGACAGAGGAGAAAGCCGTGGTGGGAGCAGGCAGCTGGGCCGATCGGACAGCGACACGGTCGGCTTCAAAACCAACCAGTCGATCACGAAGGTCTTCGAAATGAATGGTAGTGTCACGGGCACGAATAGAAACTGTGATTTTGCCATATTCTTCAGGTAAACCGCGAAGAACATAGAGTATGAGATCCTCATTCGTGACAGGTGCATTGATGAGGTCTAACTCGGCAACAGTTGTGCGCATGGTTTGAAGATATATAACAACCAGACGATTGGTAAGAGTCTCATGCCTGAGCTTTTCTTTGAGATGAATGACACGTTGACGGGACTGGCTAGCAAACATACACTCCAAGATTGTCCAGGCTTCACAGGAGGAGGGAGTCGAGGAAACATAGGGTGCAACAACAGGAGCCATAAAAGCAAGAATGGCATGGAGGAGAAGCTGATATTGCCTATATCAGAGGGTGCGCTCGGCGGCAGGGGATGTGGCGCCGGGGCTGGATTGGATCCATCAAGGAACTTCAGAAGGTCGAGGCCACGAAGAAGTGTCATGAGCTGCGCTCTCCAAGTCGGAAAATTTTCACAGTCGAGCTTGGTAGGCAGTTGAGAAGCGGGGTTGAGCGTGATGATGGTGGTCGTGTCGTTGACATTGATCACCGTTTCGCCAGAAATATTGTTGTCGTGAAGAGGAGAGCTAGAGCAGAAGGGAACGACAGGTATAGGTGAAGAAAGATAAAAGAGCGACTTAGAAGGGCTGGGAGACTAGCGTAACCCACACTACTACGAATCGAGTAATACCCGTTCCATCGCGAGTCAGATCGGGTAATACACACGGGACGAGTTCAAATTGCCATCACTGCACATACCAAGTTTATATACTAAAATATAAAAAATTGGTATGGAACGGGCGCTACAGACCTATATATATATAAATAAGTCTAGGAGGTTGACTCTCAATCTTATCATACAACAACCAATAAGAACATGAATAGGATGGATCCCTACAAGTAAGGAGTGCCGTCAAGGTTACTAATATCAGTTTTAGTATAACTTGATGTACAAGTAGCGGTACAATATATCATATCACAATGTTAACCCAAGTTCCTCACACCATAACTTACTGGATTAGACTGAAATGTTGGAAAGGATGGATATATGCACAAGTTGATGTTGTTGATCAGATCACTCACTTGCTCATTCACATTAGATCAAGGCAACAAATTTTTTGTACATAACATTTCCACTATTATCTAAATAGTTGAAACACACAAAGTTGCTAGGGTTCGCAAGAAGCGACGAACCCCCAAGCTGGCGAATCTGGAAACTCGAAGAACAAATCAAAAGTGGAAGTTTGAGACTTTTCTAAATTTTTTTGTTGTTGTTAATTTTTAAATTAATTTAATTTTAAATAAAATATCAATAATTTGATGTGTTATAACATGACATTTACGTGGCAGCCACGTTATAAATAGTTAACAATGGTTTTACCTCCGTTCGATCAACCATTTTCTCTAATGCTAAGATAAAAATGACACAAAATAATACATTACGGGATACAATCATCATATTGAATAATTAAAGACAAAATTTACATTTTTTTATAGTTTTTTTTTACAAGTGATATTATAATTTGTAAATAGAAGAGGGGTAGGAATTGTAAATAGAAGCGAACATAATGGTGAATATTGGGTTGAAAATGAAGAGAAACCGTGGTGTCTTCTACTTCTTTCCTCCTCTCTCTCTCTCCTCGTAATAGCCGAATGAAAAGGGTCCCACCAAGCTCTTAAACCCATACGTTATGTTGAATGATATCTATTTGACGATGCATTGTCTGGAAAGCCGAGCTGAGTGGAACTCAACTAAAAGGAAACCCACAGCACCACCGCCTGGCTTCTGATTCTGAATCCCTTTCGCTTCTCTCTCGTCCCACTCTGTTAAATTTATCAATCTCAATACTAGCTTACTACTCTGTATCCATGCAAATCTCCTCTGTTCTGCCTTCTTCTGGGTACATGAGCTAAGTTGAAGAACTCTGGTGGACTTTTTCGTTTTTCCCCATTTCTGGTAAATCTGACCATCCAATCCATTATCCTTTCCCGTTAAGATAAGGAGACAAACGGAAAACGCACTTGCCTTTCTCCATCGCCAGCTACCACCCATCTTCACTGCTCTGTCTTTGTCTCTGTTTCTGTTTCTGGGTATTGAGGGGGGAAAGAAAAGAAAATATCTTGTTAGTGAAGTTTTTTATTTATTGAGCGAGATGGGGGAAACAGGGCATGGGCATAACCACAACCACACGCCGCCGCCGCCTCAGCAGCCGGCGGGGCCTCCGCCGCTTGCCGTTTCAAAGGGGCCAATCTGGACTCCCGCCGAGCAGCTCCAGCAGCTTCAGTACTGCATCCACTCCAACCCTTCTTGGGGTTTGTCTCTCTCTGCGTCCTGCTCTTTTGGATTCTAATGGCTATGGTCTGATTTTGATTTGAATTCGTGTTGGTTGGAATTTGGATAGAGGGGTTGTAGCTTTTAGGGGTTTATTCGATCATATGGAGAAAGCTATGGCTGAAAAGATTGGTGCTTTTTGGTCTGCTAGTGTTTGAAAAGTGGAATTTTTACTGATTCTGGTACTCTGAAGTCTTGGATGAAATTCATGGTGATAATTCTTTTTTTGGGGTCATCAAGTTCATCTTTGTTATGCTTGCTGATAGAAGCGTAGCTTTGCTTTGCTTTGCTTTGCTTCCACATAAGAAGAATCACTTTTCGATTCCGTTTCCAAGTCTTGAGGAAGTTCGAGCTGGAATTCGGGATCTTAGAGCATATGCTTTGATTCCTTACTTCATTCGGAATCTTTACCTGAAAGAACTTTGTGTATAAAGTACCGACAGAGTTGTACAATTCACTTTATTAAAGTTGAATTCTTCAATCCTAACTTACTCGAAAGCTACTATTCTAGTTGAGTCATTTTAGGTTTTAGGAAGGTTTAGGTAGGGTTGAAATGTTTGATGTTTAATCAAGTTACATACAATTTACAGCTGATAATATACTGATCTAAGCAATTTACAGCGGAGACCGCATTTCTGGCTTTCCAGCACTACATTGTGATGCTTGGCACTATAGTGATAATTGCTAGCAATCTCGTGCCTCGAATGGGCGGCACTCATGTAAGTGGTGCATAACATCCAAAGTTCATTTGACTAACTCAGAATCAAACTGTTATTGCATTTTTTCACCACATTCTCGACTATTAATTTACACGCAGGGTGATAAAGCCCGCGTGATTGAGACACTGTTGTTTTTGGCGGGAATAAATACGCTGCTTCAAACGCTCATTGGGACGAGGCTTCCAACTGTGATGGGAGCATCTTTTGCATACACTATACCTGTGTTGTCGATCATAAAGGATCTATCGAATGAGAACTTTGCCGATGAGCACGACGTATACTCTCTTCTCATGACTAGCTTAAAAGTGGGGTGATTCTACATTGTCTTGGTGTGGTTAAGTCTCTTATTTAATTAAATTCTTGTGGTATGTTGGCAGAGATTTGTCCACACTATGAGGACAATTCAAGGAGCGCTAATCGTTTCTTCGTTTGTCAACATCATCTTAGGCTACAGTACAATAATCGGGAATTTGACCAAGTGAGCTTAATCAATGCATTTGGGGTGTTCATATCTAGATAACTTGTTTTCTTGATTCACTCTTCATAGTTCGTATGCTAGTTGGCTCCCGGAATAACTATCTGCTCTGTATTTTTTTTTTGCTCACATTTCTCTGCTTTGATTTGATCTTTCTCAGGCACTTTAGTGCCATAGTTATTGTCCCGGTGGTTGGAGTTGTTGGCCTTGGCCTTTTCACCAGGGGATTCCCTATGGTAATTGATTTTTAATTAGGCCACGGGTGCTTGTCGGCCGATGATGCTGAATGTCACTGAACACAACTGATAATCAAAAGTAATTTGTTGCTCATGCAGCTTGCCAACTGTGTGGAGATTGGTCTGCCTATGCTGCTACTGCTTGTCTTTTGCCAGGTGAGTTTAGTTTCGTACAAAACTATAAGCTGGAAGCAAATGCATGCTCCACGTGTGGAAGTAACTTCCTTGTATTTGCTGCTGCAGTATTTGAAGCACCTCCATTCGAGGGCCCATGCCCTGCTCGAGAGATTTCACTTGCTTTTCTGCCTCGGATTCGTTTGGGCTTTTGCTGCTATCCTTACCGCTGCTGGTGCTTACAACAACGTTGCGCCCATAACTCAACGAAGTTGCCGCACAGATCGATCATTTCTCATATCGTCTGCTCCATGGTATGGATACTTTTTACTTCTGTTATCTTGTGTCACAAACACCTGTTCGGTTCCCTGATAGACTTATTCTATCTTTGTTAATCCAGGGTCAGAGTTCCATATCCATTCCAATGGGGTCCGCCCATATTTAGAGCAAGCCATGTCTTTGGGATGATGGGGGCTGCACTTGTTACAGCTGCTGAGGTCCAGTCGATGTTTCTATTTCTGTTTCTTCGCCAAGATGGCTTACTATTTAGTTTTTTTTGTTATTGACATTTTTTCGGGTGTTCTCCTCTGAATGCAGTCAACCGGGACATTCTTTGCTGCATCACGTCTAGCAGGGGCAACACATACTCCGGGACATGTCGTCAGCCGAAGTATTGGTCTTCAGGTAACAATTATAGTTCTCTGAATCTTTCTTCTTTACATTTATATCGATACGAATCAGAATAATAAGAGATGATGCTTGTCTCATTCTTCATATAGGGTATAAGCTTGCTAATTGATGGAATCTTTGGTGCTCTCGTGGGTACCACAGCATCTGTGTACGTACCTGATCCTTTATGGTAGTTGTGTACTTGTGTTAATTCTATCATTGAGATTTAACTTTGAAGATCTAGTATAAACTCTTTATCTGTAATGTAGGAACTTGGTTCATTTTCTGATCTTGTGATATTACAGTGAAAATGTTGGCCTTCTCGGGCTCACACACATAGGAAGCCGTAGAGTGGTGCAAATATCAACTGCTTTCATGTTCTTCTTCTCCATATTTGGTTAGTATTTTGAGCTTCCACAGCATATGACTTTAAGATACCTCAGAATTCATAGCCCCTTCTGACTTGATACAATGATTTCCATCTTTCAGGGAAGTTTGGTGCCTTATTTGCATCCATCCCTCTGCCAATATTTGCTGCCATTTACTGTGTTGTATTTGGAATAGTGGGTAAGTAATCTGTCCCTTATGCGATCAATCATATTTTCCCTTACCTGAATTTCGGTATAATTTGCTCCCACCCTTTTTTCTCTACAGCCGCAGTTGGAATCTCATTCATGCAGTTTGCAAACAGCAACTCCCTGAGAAACCATTATGTCCTTGGCTTATCTCTGTTCCTTGCTATATCCATCCCTCAATATTTCGTCGGCAACACCTCCAACGATGGCCGTGGACCTGTTAGAACAAATGGCGGATGGGTAAGTTCCACACATATAGCCTTCTTCATATGTACAACAGAGTTAAACCAATTTGATCACTGAACTAGCTTATGTATATTACATCGGTTGCTGAAACAACAAAAACACTGAACTCATCCTAATAGTCACTGTCAGCATTCCACTCCATCCATAAATTTTTGCCGTCTTGTTGCAGATGTGGCATTCCTTTTACGCCAATTAAAGGCTGATCATCAACATAACGATAAATCCTGATAGAATTAGTAGTGCAGGACGTAATATGACTGAGTTCAGTTTTTCTAGTTGTTTGCAATGCCAAGTTCAGTGCCTACTGTCAAGTTTGTTTACCAAATCGGTATCTAACCCAATATGTAATTGTGTGTCCACAAGCCCTCCCAGCAAAAACTAAATCTTCCACATTTTGATATGAGATATATGCTTCACTTCCTCTT